GATCCTTCGGATATGACGCACCAAGACGGATTGATGACTCCTTGGATATGACACACCAAGACGAGCCAAGTCGATCAATGGATATGACACACCATTGGAAGAAAAAACGAGAATCACTCTCAAGGTTCCAAAAATAATAATCAAAGGCTTATCTTTTTATTCATGAAATGAACCTCTTTATATAGAGAAAATACATCAGCAAACGTCCATAATAATAGCTCAACATGCAGAGTATCTAGGAAAACGAAATTCAACTCTAAAGTGCATGTAAGAGAGAGAACAACACTCAACTAAATGTTGTTTTGAATTTGGAGGAAATCTGATCTTCCTTGATATCTTTTGGGTTGAATCCAACTTTGTGGGTTTTTCTCATGAATCAAGGTTGTAGAACAAGCCGGTTTGTAGCTTACTTCATTCTGGTTTGGTTGAAATTATTCAAACAATGCACACAGGTCTGAAAAATCGGATAAACTGGAAATCACCTGACTTGTAAATTGAATAATTTCTTCGTTTGTACTCCTTTTGACCTGATTCTTCTTCGAGGTGTTCCGTGAATGAGCTGAGAATATTTACAAGTTTTTTCAGGTGATGAATCATCGTGGTTGAGCAGATACACTTCGAACAGTGAGCATATGTCCATTCGAGTCAAATTCAAAATGTACATCTGCTTGGATTGAGCTCTGATTCACCTACTAGTTTGACAACTTTATCATAATATTTGTGTTGCTTTTCATGATCGTATCAAAGATGACCATGCATATATGGAGAAAGCAACAAACAAAAAAAACATGATATATATACTACCAAAACCAAAAAAAAAAGTATATATCAATCATAAAACTAATCCGCACAACATGAAAAAAATATGTGAATATCTTAAAATAATAATACCATAATATTCAAATATTTTTACGTTTGCAACTCGAGTTATCGCTTCGCATCGGAAACATAAACATTCATGGGAATCTCCTCAGAAAACCCACGTGATTGTGTTTTTATATTCATGCTTATTTGTTTTCCTCTGTATAAAGCTGGAGTTTGCATTTTGCAAAACAAGACTAAAGTTTCAAGATCACTCCCAGTCTCCTTGTACGTTCTTCTCCTCTTTTCCTATTTTAAGCTTCTAAGAATTTATTTTTTCCATGTACCAAAGGATTCAAAGTTCCATGCCTGCTCTGTATTTTGTTTTTGTCACAGTAGCTTCTGATTTCAAGGAATTGTTAAAGCGCCTCTTCTTTTTAGCTGTTTTTGTTGGTTAGAAATCGTCGATTAAAATCTCTTGTAGAATCTGCATTCTTTTGCTCGTCGGGCTCAATAGCTACTGGTAACTATTTTGTAGCTAATGTTAGTAATTTCAATTTTTTGTTTTGAAGTAGAGAGTTTCTAAATAAGCACTATTGGTTTTCTTTATGTGAAAGTATACGTCTACTATATAAATTTCTAAATAAGCACGATTGGTTTTCTTTTTCTGTGAAAGTATGCTTTTTGTTTTTTGAGAAAGTTTGGATCTTTCTTTACGGCTTTATTCTGAATCTGATAAATGGTGGGTTTTGCATAGAGAGACACTAAGTATTGTTTGTTTTGAGTAGTTAAGAGCATCTTTAATGGTAACAATCTTAAGAGTATTTTAAGGCAAAAAGTGATTAAAAAAATATTTAATTTAATGAACCTTTTATGAAAAAGTTCTATACAAAGAATTTAGAGCATCTTTAACCTTAACACCTATTAAAGTGTTTTAAGTCATTTTTTTAAGATTATTTTTTTTAAGACCTTGTCTTAAGGTTCAATACATAGAACATTTCTCATCAAAGTTCATAAAAATTTATTATATTTTAATGAAAAAGGTGTTAAAACACCCAAAAAAATCACCATTAATGATGCTCTAAAGACATGGGTTTTGAAAGTGTCATAATATTTTTAATACTAAAAAATTATTTAAGACCCCTTAGTGGGTTTACCATTAATGATGCTCTAAGTACTCTTATACTAAGAACAAATCACCTTTCTTGCATATCTATGTTTCTAGCCTTCTAGGGTTTGGTTTAGGTTTTAAGGTCTACCTTACTAGAATTTGATTTAATGATTTAATCATTTTAAAGAGAGGTGACCTTTTTGTCCAGTGCCAGTGTCAAGCATCTGATATATCAAATCTCATTGTATCTAATGGTGTAAGAGCTTTGTGATATGATCTAATCACTTGTACATTTCTACTCTTGTTTTCTTAGGATTTGGTCCAATCTCGGGGCTTTTTTGTGAGCCATTGAGGTCAAGTTGCATCTCAAACTTGTTGATTGGTAGTGATGGCTCAGAGGAATGGTAGCTACGGAGGTGAAGTTGTTATCGATCTTTCAGATAAAGAAACGTTGAAAGATCGATCAGCATCTGCTCCTCCCAGTGTAGCGCCTACACCAAAGCCAGATACCGAGCCTTCAAAACTAGAGCCGTTAAGCATTCCCCCTCCTGAAATCTACAAGTTCTCTGGTAGTGTTCACAAGCCTCCTAAAGCTCCAAGTCCTAACAATGAAGGTCTAGTTCGGAGGAGATCTCTTTCGAGGTCAGTTTACTCCAGGTCCAAGTCAAGGTTTGGAGACCAAAAGTCTTATCAATTCGATAAGATTAAGGAAGATGAAACTGGTGGAACCCTCATGGAACAGTTTGCTACTGCTTCATTTGCAAGGTCTTCTTTCATCAGCAGGGCTTCCCCTAATAATATATCGAATAGGAGCATTGCTTCAGCAGCCTTGAGTAGAGTAGCTGAGGAGGAGTCGGATGAACATGAAGAAATCTACAGAAAGGTTAAGTTAAACCGAGCCAAGCGTAGTGGAGTAAAGACTCTGGCTCTGCTGGAGTTGCTAGTGTTTGTGGCCATTTTGTGCACTTTGATTGTGAGTTTGACTATTGATAAGGTGAAGAAGCATCGCATTTGGGGTTTGGAAGTTTGGAAATGGTGTGTGCTTGTGATGGTGACAATCAACGGCATGTTTGTGACGAATTGGTTCATGCATTTCGCGGTTTTCCTCATAGAAAAGAACTATCTCTTAAGGAAAAAAGTGTTGTACTTTGTGCATGGTTTGAAGAAGAATGTTCAAGTCTTCATTTGGTTGAGCTTGATTCTGATTGCTTGGGTAATTCTCTTCGACGAAGAGGAAAAACGCACTCGTAAGACGAAGAAATTCCTCGATTTTATGACTTGGACTATTGTTAGTCTTCTCGTCGGGTCATTCCTTTTTCTTGTGAAGACATATGCCTTGAAAGTCCTTGCTTCAAAGTTCAACGTCAGAAATTTCTTTGAGAGAATTCAAGAATCTGTGTTTCACCAATACATTCTCCAGACGCTCGCGGGTCCTCCGGTCATAGAAGAGGCAGAGAGCCTAGGGCGCGAGCCGAGCACGGGCCACCTTAGTTTCACGAGCACCAAAGATGGGTCGGTGAAAGGAAAGAAAGTGATAGATATGGGGAAGGTTCACAGGATGAAACAAGAAAAGGTTTCTGCTTGGACAATGCGAGTTTTGATCGAAGCCGTGGGAGGTTCGGGTCTTTCAACCATATCTAACACTTTAGATGAGGTCAGCAATAGAAAAAAGAACACTGATAAAGAGATAACTAATGAAATGGAAGCTATGGCTGCTGCTTATGATATATTCAACAATGTTGCTAAGCAGAATCACAAGTAAGTTATCACATAATACTCTGCTTTCATTTCTTCTTCTTGTTTTCATGTCAATGATACTAACTAACTTTAAATTGCTTATTAAATTTCTCAGTTGCATAGATGAAGATGACCTTCGTAGGTTCATGATTAAGGAAGAAGTAGACCTTGTACTCCCATTAATAGAAGGCGCCGAGACCACGGGAAAAATCACACGCAAAGCTTTTACAGATTGGGTGGTAAACATTCTACAAACACTTTCCAAGTAGAACATAAATATTGTTTGTGTGTATATGCACAAAAGTTTCCTTTTAAGTGGCAAGAAAATCATTGGCTTCTTTGGGTGTGTGTATATGCACATTTTGTTGGCAGGTTCAAGTTTACACAAGTCGGAAAGCTTTAGGACATTCACTGAACGACACGAAAACAGCGGTTAAGCAGGTAGACAAACTTATAACGGGAATCTTGACCGTTGCTACATTAATCATTTGGTTGGTACTTTTGGATATAGCATCGTCCAAGTTATTGCTGGCCTTGTCCACACAATTCGTGGGTCTTGCTTTCATGATCGGAAGCACTTGCAAGAATATCTTCGAATCCTTTGTGTTCGTCTTCGTGATGCATCCTTATGACGTCGGTGACCGTTGCGTTGTGGACGGTGTACTGGTAAACTAACATTCAAGTTTCTTTGTTCACTAGAATCATTTTATAAAAAAAAAAAAACATCTAATTCATTGTTTTTTGTGTGTGTGTTAGAAGTTGATGGTTGAAGAAATAGATCTATTAACTACCGTGTTCCTCAAGATTGACAATGAGAAAGTGTTCTATCCAAATGCGGTTTTAGCCTCGAAACCGATAAGCAATTTATACAGAAGTCCAGATATGGGAGATTCCGTAGAGTTCTCCATCGCATTCTCAACACCCGCAGCGAAAATCTCCGCTTTCAAAGAAAAATTCGGAGAGTAAGTATATATATACACACTCTTAAAGCACTTACTTACTCACTCACTTTGTATTGTGTTGACGAGAAAATTGTTGTGTGCTTGGTCAGATACTTGGAACAGAACCCACATCATTGGTATCCAGGACCCTTGGTTATGGTAAAGGCGATTGAAAATATGAACATGCTAAAACTGAATGTGTTGGTCCTCCACACGATGAACTTCCAAAATTACTTAGAGAGGAATATAAGAAGAACCGGGCTGGTAATCGCGATCAAGCGAATGCTCGAGGAGCTTGAGATCGAGTACACACTCCTTCCTCAAGATGTTCATCTCATTGGTCACAAGCCAGAATAATTTCCTTCTTTC